GTCTTTCTCATCACAGGTTGTCTGAAATGCTCTACTGTAGTTAGTGTGGCTATGCAATTAATGTCAGGCAAGAAAACTCTATTGCCTGGAAAACGTAAATAGCACATACACCCTCCTGATATGCTGGGGTGCTTTGAAGTTTCCTTTTGAAACACAGAAAAAGAATTGGTCTGATATTAAGCAACAGGCTCTTGATTCTGCTCAGTAGTCCAATTCATTAATAGGTCACTGCCCTGTCGTTAACTGTTCCAGTAAACCAGAATCAGTGTCCTGGAATTCCTGGCATGCAGCGCTCCCCTCTGTACGAGAGGAATGACTGTCAGATGTAGAGTCAAACTCCTGTTAGATTGGTGCTGGATAAGCTTGGATTTCTCCAGATTTCATATTTTAATTTCTTTCCCCCTCTCCTGCAGCTGATGTACATGGGTTTCAGCCGTGAGTCAGCAGAGCAAGCTTTAAAGGTCTTCAAAGGCAACGTCCACTTAGCTTCCCAAACCCTTGCTCATTATGGGGGACTTCTTCCTGCTTCACTGCAGCTTTCTCCAGCAGGGTCCAGTCCATCAGAAGAATCAACCTCTTCAAAAGACTCATCTACAGAGTCTGCAGGTAAGAATGTTGCGTATAGCAGGCAGAGAAGGGGAAAGGCTGTTCTGGCTCTTGTATGAAGCAATTAAGAGACTTCTGCTTTAGTACTGGTAGAGGGCCCAGACTTACTTTTGGCAGTAACATAGTTACAGGCAAGGCCTCCATTACCCCAGATAAACTACAGCCCCTGCAGTCAGTGACAGATGTGTACAGGACCGTAAGGGTTGGCTGTAGGCAGCATGTAAAATGGATGCAGCCCAGGAGAATGGCTCCTGAGTGGGCTGTGGCTTCAGCTCTTGAGGCTGGAGGCCTCTGGAATCTGCATCTTTACTTCCCTGGTGAGGAACATGTGGCCTTTCCAGCCCACGGACAATTCCAGCTTCTCATCTCTAACTGTACTCACTCACACATGATCATTTAAAAACAAACCCGCCTCTTTCTGCCTGTAGTTTTCAGAGAGCAAGTACTAAGTTGCTGGAGCACATTCCCCTCACCTGCCACTGATAATGATGATACTTGGCTTGCTAATACCTGGGTTATGGCTGCTAGGTGGCCTATTGCAGACTTGTACTATGCAGTCAGTTGATTTTACTCCCTCCTCACGTCCCTGATGTGGTAGAACTGTAACTGATACTTGCCATTTGGCAAAGAAGAAACTCACATGTGTTTTCTTGTTATTTGTCATAGCTGTAGCGATCCCTGTTGTACAACTAAAGGTTCTCCTACAGCTTTAAGCAATAGGGAAAAAACTGGCTGTCCTGCAATATCCTTTGCAGAGCACTTTTAAATAAGAGGTAGTTCTACAGTAGGACTCAGAGCAGTCATGCTGAGGGAAGAGGGAAGTACCAGTTTCTTTCAGAGGTGAATTCACTGCTGCTTCTTATTGGAAGGTTCTTCTGGTTCACCAACAGATGAAGATATGGAGAATGATGCAGTCAATGAAATCCTAGAGGATATTCCTGAACACGAAGAGGATTATCTGGATTTAACACTGGAGGAAGAGAAACAGATCATCCATGAATACTTATCCTATATACAAGTACCACAGCAATAAATCCCTTTATATCTACTTCAGTTATATGTATTTACCTTGACAAATTGAGTTGGGATTATAAATGCACCTTCAGCTTATCTCTTACTAAATGCCTTGAATTCAGTTCAACTATAGGAGGACTACTTAATTCTTGCTTAATTTATAAATCCACTTAAAGCCTACATTTGTGATACGTCGTAATTTATTGTCATAGCAGAAAAATAGAAATTTTTATTTTCAGAAGAAAATTTAATAGAACTAAACTATATTTTTACCGTGAAATAAGATAATTCACTTAGTATTCAAGTAAAGAAGCATTTCTATACCACTTTACAGTACCAGCTTTAAAAAAACAGAAGTGAGTTTATAAACCAGAAACCGAGCTCATGAGATTATAGAGGTATCAACTTTACAACTGTTCTCCTTTTCTTCTGAAAGATTTCCAATAGACATATACATATCTGTTGTGCATGGATTTATACTGTGTCTGCTTGTCATTTCCTGCAGGTATTACACAGGCAATAAAGGTAACTGTGCTGCTGGCTTTTAGTAGGGGTCTTCTATGCTTTGGTTTTAAAAACTAATAGGAACTGCAGAGCAAGGCACTGCCCCTCTACCCTGAGCCCTGCACAGTGACACTTCTTTATCTTAATTAAACCAGCTGTTCCTAACTAACCAGCTGTTAAACAAAGCTTGGGTCAGGCACTGTCTCAGTAGCTGTATCCAGCTTCAGCACGCTGGAGAAGGAGTTGGGGTTTTGTGTCTGTGTGTTAAAACACCCTGTTTTCTGCTGTGTAAGCCCTCTTCTCTGCTGGGAGCCGAAGTTCCTCTGCTTGCCAGCTCTGCTGAAGTGCGGTTTATTAACTTTCCATAGCTTCATTCTCGCGGTAGAGGGAGCTCAGGCCCTGTCTGCCCCAGCTGTTGGGAACTGGAGCTGATCCCGCTTAGAGTGGGTCCTAAAAGCAGCTCCTGGGACAGGAACCTTCTTTATCTGGTGACACTTGACTCTTACCCAGCATTTATCAGGGGGAAATGAGAGCTTGGGCTGGTGACAGGGCAGATGTGATGTTGGAGGAAGCAGAGCTGGGGGTTGTGGAGTGACTGCCCACATCCAGTGGATGGACTTCAGTAGTCGATCTTCTTGTTTCTGGCTACCTTAGCCAACCAAGGACAGCAACAAGCAGGGAGTGATTACACTGTAATTAAGGAGTTACTTGTATTTTGTACTTCTCTATCAAGAGGAGTGCTGTAACAGTTGAGTAGCTTTGTATCTTCTCCCAGAAGTTTGAAGCATTTCTAAAGGTAGAAACACAAGCTTCAGAGAAATAAGCAGCCCTTGCAGCCATTATATCCCAGTTCTCTACAGGTGAGCACTGAGGAACAACTGGCCAAAATGTTGCATATACAGAAGAATTTAAAATTGAAGGCATACAATGTGACTGATAGCAGGTGGGGAAGCACAAATTTATTGCTTCCTTTAGCATTACCTTGGCTAGCCCTGAGGCACACACTGGCAGCAGCACTGGGGTGTACAAGCGGCATTTCTCCTCTTTGAAGTGGCTTGCAGAGCAGAATGGCAGCGACAACTTTGGAAGTGAAGGTTTATCCTTGAGGAATTTAAAATTAGCATTGTAACACACAGTGCTTTTCAGAGAAGCCATTCCTCCCTCATGGAATTTGCCGGCGCTGCTGCGCTGTGCGTGCAGTTCTCAGTGGCATTGGCTAAAAGTTTTAAAGTTAATTTTGACCATGTAGTTGAAGGCACTGTGATATGTTTAGCAACAGCCAGAAGTGGTAATGACTCATTAATTCCATTCCTTGAGATCTGTGTCTATGAAATCCATTTCCTAATTCCATGTGCAGCTGCTGTAGGGCCAGATAAGCTCTTGTGTCTAATACCCTGCATGCAAAGATCTAAACAAAAGGATGATCTGTGCAATTCTGCCCATCTCTGCTGAAGGCATTGACCTCATAAGCAACATACAGACAAAATGAGCTGTATGACAAGCCAGTCACTCCAACAACCAAGAGCCACCACCGCACAGATGTCTCAACAGGGCCAGTATCGAGCTACAGCAACCACACCAAGCGGTTTACAGTGGAATTAAGACTTCACTATGCAGATGACTTCCCAAATTACTGACCTCAAGTATGCATTTAACATCATTAAAATACTGTTTCCTACTAAACATGGAAACCTGCCAGTAAAGAGTGAACAAAGCTGCTTGGCAGGAGAGGCAAACAAGCAATGACAGGCCCACTACTGAGGGAAGGGTAAGAAATATTTCCAGAAGTGTATGTTTTGCCATATTCCATCCATTCCGAGCTGCAACCATACAAATCCCCTCTAAATGAAAATAAAACTTAAGACAGTGAGTTGTCTGTAGGTGCCACATGTTTATTAGTCCATTCTAAAAAAGGATTACAGCATCTTTATCTTGCTGTAGTGCAGAATAAATAAAGCCATAAAAATAAAAACATAAAAACATGTGGTTAGATACTTCTGTACTGGTTCTACAAAGAGATACCTGCAAATAGAAAAATAAAGGAACCCTTGTTTATTCATGGCTCAGTGGTTATCAGAGAAGGATGAACCTGGAAAGAGACTGGGAGCTTGATTACTCATTTTGACGCTACTGACCTAGCAAACCAGGGCTAGACCTGGCCTCCTAAGAAGGGAAAGGTGACAAAATCTAGAGTCCTCAATAAATCCTCCTGATTTACTCTCCTCTCCTTTGAAAAACGCAGTTTCCAGTGGATATAAGGAAATCCTTTCCCCTTGTGAGGTCAACCAAGCAGTGGCCACAAGACCTGGGGCCCTGGTGAACAGCTGAAGTGAGAGATCATCAAAGGTAAAAAAAGAACCTGCCAGGTTTTAGGGAGGAGCACAACTGCTGTGTCTTGACAAAGAGCTGACCTTGGCACAAAAGGTCTGAGATGGAGCTTGTTCGCTAGCTTCTCTTTTGTTAAAATGATTTAATGTCTGTCCTACTACTCCCAACTTGGCAGAGAGGTGGCGTCTGCTTTAAACTCCTGCTGAGCTGTTCCATTCTGCATCAAATGGTCATACTGGCAAAAAACTGACCTGAAGGTCAATTGTGGAAATTGGATTTGTAGTTGTACTGCATCACACCTTTCATATCTCCAGTCGTCTGAACAGAGGGCATGTGAGAGGGCAACAGGAACAGGAGACATTTCTTACTAGATACTGGACAGGCAGAAGTGTGCAGCATCTCTGTGCCAGCGGGAACTGAAAACAAGCAGTTGTGAGTACAGTTCTTAATTACACACAAACACACACAAGGTACCTGACCTGAAGCACACTGCAGTCCCTCCTGCCCCCAGTGCTGCTCAGATGTCAGCAGCAACAGAATCAGACTTGAGCCCACCTGACACAGAATCCTGGCTCCTGGAAAAGAGGTTTCCCAAAAGTGCCTTCCCATCTCTTTCCAAGTTCTGGTTTACATGGACACAGTGGTACATAAAACAAAAGGTTCAGCTTTGGTCACTCCTGGGAAGTCTGCGGTGGGGTCACATCAGTTCAACAGCCTCATGTTCCCCATTTTCTTGCTGTACCATGCAGCCGACTTTGTTATTGAAGAGGCGAGACAGACTTCCCTTCTGAGAGCCCCGGCCCTGGGCAGACCTCTCCTTCTTCAAACGCCTCTTGTTTCTCTTGCATATTCCTCGGATGTCCCAGATCCTTAGCGTGCCATCATGGGAAGCTGTGTAGAGCAACTCATTGTGGATCTGGAACAACAGGGTTACACTTAATACCAAACCGTACAGCTTAGAATCGGCACAATTAGTCAAAACTTGGAGCAAACACAGCTTGATCCCAACACTTGCGGCCTGATGGCTCATTGGAAGAGCCAGTATAAATTATCACGAAAGCTGCTGAAGCGGGATGAGCCATTACCAAGCCAGGACTCATTTCTCAGCCACTTCACAGAGCCATAAAATATAAACAGCAAGAGTTATTTATAACCTAAACCCACTAGAAAACCAATGGGGAACTAAACTCAGTGTCAGAGTAGGCTGTAGCTGGGAATTTCTGTGCTGGTTTCAGACTGCTGATTTTGAAGACAAAGCTTAAGGAGGCACTGAAATCGGGAGCAGTGGGGGGGGGAGGGGGTGTGTGTCAGAAAAGCTTTCCTTCCCCTTTCCCTCCTTCCTTTGCAGTAAACCATAGGAACGATTTCTCCTTCAGCATTAGTTGTTCTTTCTTCCAAACCTGCAGTAATTTGACTTGATTCCCTCCTGCAGTTCCTTTTCCTTAATGAAACACTTGATGCTGTTGGTAACGTTTCCAATTGTCCTCACCTTCCCCCAGTATTAGTCTCCATCATCTTCCCTTCCTGTGCTCGCCTGTCCACTGTGGTTGCAGGTGCCTGCAGTCTCCAGCAGTGGGCAGCAAGAGCCGGTATCCCACCAGCCGGCTGGCTTCCAGCAGCAGGAAGCACCACACAGCCCTAGCCTCCCCTCACTAATCTACTAAAGATCACATTCATATCGCCACTTCTCAGTGGCTGATGGATACCGTGCCCAGGGTGTTAGAAGGATAATGCTATTTATTATTCTGCTTGGAGAAGGCAGAAACCTTCTTTTCCCCCTAAAGCACTGCAAACACCAGCGTCTTTAACAGGAGGGGTCTTGTAAGGCCAGAGTCCATTCCATGCCCCTACACAGGATCAGTTACGTCTGTCTCATTTCTTACATTTGCTTGTCTAACCTGACCTGAAAAACCTCAGTCATAGACATAGGGCTGTCTCTGGTGGCCCAGTGTGTGGTTTCACTTATCCTCACTATTAGCAAATTTACCTAAAATTGCAGGAGGAATATTCAAGTCTGCTACATTTCATCTTATCCTAGAACAACATCCAATCTATGACACACAGAACAGCCAGCCACACCAGTTCCCACAAAACAACAAGGGAACAATTGGAAATGCAAAATCCCAGCAAAGAAACCCCTTCCCGACCTGGATGCAGTTGATGATGAACTTGTGTCCTCGAAAGATCTTTTGCAGGACACCACTCTTGGAATTGAAAGCTCTTGCGCAGGCATCACCACTTCCTGTGAACACTGCAATGCAACCACACAACACAGCACATGGCCAGATGTGAGCAGCCGCCTATGGTCAGTTCATGCAAGTTCAACAATATACGTAAAACTACTTCACAAAGGAGGCCAACATAGCATTCTTAGGCTTGATTCTCTTCTCATTACAGCAAGTTCAGATCATTTTACTGGAATGGGTTGCCCAAGGAAGCTGTGAAAGCTCCATCCCTGGTGGTGTTCAAGACCAGGTTGGACAGAGCCTCGGGTGACATGGTTTAGTGTGAGGTGTCCCTGTGTGTGGCAGGTGGGTTGGAACTTGATGATCTTAAGGTCCTTTCCAACCCTAACTATCCTATGATTTTCACTGTGTTTTTCAAAACACTGAACTGCCTTACGCCTGAAATTCCTACACATTTCTGTTTCTGCTTTTCCACCTACATCTCCCTTCCTAAACATTCTTCAATAATGCAAAGCAGACAATTTATCTCCTGCCTAGTTTTAAGGGTTTCTACTAAAGCCTTCCGTTTGTTTTACTGTAGTTATTTCCAGGTTTCTATTCAGTACTACAGTACCTTCATCACTTCTGCTGTAGCAGAAGCATCTGTACAGCAAAGCTGCAAACCACTGGAACAGCCTTTCCCCCTCTCACACTAACGATACAAATTCGGCTTAAGCTTCATTAAAACAAACCTACAAAAACATTTCTTACCCATTTCAAACAAAAGCTCACTACTAGTAGGTAGGGCCATCTGTTGAAACACTACAGTTAAATCTGTCCTCAGAGGTGAGTGGCATGTGTAGGCAGCTTTTCCAAGAAGCTTCATAAATTCTTTGAACGTGGTAGATTTCTTCCACTAACTCCTGCAGCTTAGGATCTCTGCAAGCAGTAGAGCTTTTAAGTGATTCAAGGCCCAGGCTATAACCTCCATTTCAGTATGGCACTGAATTATTTACAGGTTTTGGCTATAACTCTGCATGCTACATCATGCATGTGCTGCAAGGGGGTGAGGGTTAAGTAGATTAAGCATGACCAGGGATTTGGGCTGTTCATCAGGTTTCCATACAGTGTCTTAACATGTTCAAAGACCAATTTATCAACACTTCAGGATCTTCACATCAGATCCCCAGAATCTCTGCATCCAGAAACTGTAAGGCAGTGTTAAATATTTAGATTTTATACTTAGCAAGATGTCCAAAAAGGAGCATATTTGTGTTTAAGGCTTTCAAACTGTCTTCATAAACAGTCACTTTCCTTCACTTAACCCAAACTCCTTAAGTTTATCTACAGATAAATATTTTAGAACTGCAACAAGCAATATGTTCACTGTTCCCTGCATTTCATGCCTTTGCAAAAGCCACTAGCATAGAAAGGTTTTTACAAAACTGAAGTGCCTGAAGACAACAGTTTCCTTGTCCTTTGGAGGAAGTCAGGCACCGGATTCCTAAAGAGAGGCAAAGAAATTACCACACCAGTAAATTCAGGACTACAAGGGACGAGAGAACAGGCTACCTACTGCCATAAGCTTTCCAACTTCAAATTAAACAGCAGGAGGCTGGATACTTCCTGCATACACCTTCAAGAAGCATCTGGATGTGGAAAATCAATGTCATTTTATATGGGCCACTATAAATTCAGTTGCCCACACAACCCTGAAAAAGCATCGTGTCCCATTCTGCACATGAGTAACAACAACCTAAAGCAGGGAACAAGGTACAGGTATTTTTTCTTTCCAGTGAATGTGAATCACTTAATACTATTACACACATGCAGAGTGGGAACCAGTTAAGAGATGTTTCTACCATGCAGCTGTCAGTTTACTTGAGCTATTGCTACCAGGATTTTGCTTTTGACAGACATCCTTTATATCTTTTGAATTGTCACTCTATATTTAGGAAGCCTCTTTGCACCTCTGACTTTCAAAGGAGAGCTGTTGATCTAACCTAGATTTAGCGTTTAAACATATGCTTATATATACACCACCTGTGAAAAAAAAAAACAAACAAATAACCAAACAGTAAAATCAACAACTTATTTTTACTTAAATTTCATGTACCCCTGGGAGGGAGAAAAGGTTTTAAATGTTCCCTCAGAGGTTTTGCAACATGAAAATATATAAACTGCATTAAATTTTAAATGCCTGTGCACATACTGTAGGAGAGTATCAACATAATATCATTAAGTACATTAGATTGAGAATCAGCTTTAATATTCCCCATGCTATTAATTACACAAGCAGACTGAGGAGAGCCACTAGAAACACATCCTGATGATTTAAGGATTAGTTCTCAGATTTATCTGGACTCCCTGTACACTATAAATCCATTTTGGAAGCCCATACTTGTTTTTTCTTCTCATTCTTCAACTATATTTTCTTATTTAGACTTTAAACTCTTTGGGGCAATGAGCCTTTGGGTCCTGATCAGATAGCAAGCAACAGATTGAAGATCTTCTAACAGAAAGTCATCACTTCTCAGCTGAGATTCTTTGCATGCTCTTGTGCTGGTGCAAATTCAATATAAACCCTAACAAACACCATTTAGACTGAAGCATTTTTAAGAGAGAGAATGGACACACAGTGCTGATCTCTCTGTCCCAGGCGAACAGATAGAAGTTTAAGCTACACTAGCTCCAAAATTTGGTATCCTGTGAACATGTATTTGTAATTCTAATTGAAACAAAGCTATTAGATACTGTGTAAATAAGGGATCAATGTATCATAATAATACAATCATAGTATGTAAATTTTTAAGTGCAAATTTCCTCTTTTGAGAATTAAAATGCATCTAAATTCTACTTAGACATTTTTGTCTACCCTTCAAGTGGAACAATTCAATTCTCCCTTTTTGCATTTAACTTTAAATGAGCTCTTAAATAATCCTGTGAACACCTGTACTGCACTATCAGGATATCCTGCACAGGTCTGAGACTAAATGTCGCAATACTGCCTGCATTTTGAGAAAAAAAAAAATGAAAAAGGGAGTGTTATGGAAAATAATGTAAGTGTATGGCAGGGATAGTGTGGTAGGATGAGGGGGAAGAGAGAGAAAGCTGCAAAGCTGGTAGGGTGGTCTCAGATAATAGGACTTTTGTTTGAGCCTAAACTTTCTTTTTGATGGTTTTAGAGAGTCTGGTCAAGTCTGAAGCAGGATCAACACTGAGAAAATGCAGCTCCAGAAGGCTCATTAATGAAGGACCCAGTGCTGATACTGTTGATACTGAACATAAATCTGCTGTAAAAAGCGAGAATTTCACAGGCCATCAAAATTACAGTATTCTCTATTAACAACCTTTAATCACAAACTAATAGTAAGAAGGGGACTGCTGAACATAGGAAAGGCAACTTACAGATCCCAGCATGGTATTTCAAAGTGCTAACGCTGTGTTTGTGAGCCTTGTACGTTTGGATTCGCTCCCCAGTGTCTACTAACCAGCACTTCACTGTCCTGTCCGCGCTTCCTGAATACAAGTGCCGATTCACTAGCTGAAAGGAAGAGAAAAAAACATCAACAGTCTTTCAGGCATGTTCATTAGAGAATGGCACCAAAGTGACTCATCTGAAATCATGGTTTCCAACCCAACAGCCTGTCACAAAGAGCAACAACTACACCCTGAAACAGGGATGATGAGCAAAACCAACCTTGCATTCTTCACAGTTGCATCTCCCAATGACTTTTGGACCTTGCAAACATCTCCCATGTTTCAGAAGATAAACAAACAGCCCATCTGCTGGTGTAAGCAGGCAGGATTTCAGTGAGCTTAACAATCCTAACCCTACTTCCATGAGCAGTTACATTAGTATAGCCTCAAAAAAAACCCCAGCAGTGTAGTTTCTGCAAAGCATTTTTGGTAAGAACTCTTATCAGTATATGAGTTTTAATTACAACCAAAATTTCAGAACAATGCTGAATAGCAATAAAAAAAAATAAATTAAAAATGAAATCCTATGCAACATAAACCAGGGTTTAACATTATTCCTCTGCACAAGGCCAGTACCTGGGAACACTAACTCTTCCCTGAACTGTTTAGTATCTGCATTTCCACAAGTCTTTTCAGACTGTGTTATCGAACTATTAAATAATTAACCATCCTTACAGATGGTTTTTAAACACCTTTAACCAGGTTGCCTTCTGCTGTTTGTTTAGAACAACTCTGCCTATAAATCCCAAGAAAGAACAGTGCCTCATCACACTAAGTCATCCCGCACACTGCATGAACTCACTAGTGGCAGAGGTTGGCTTTTATTCCACACAGACATGATAAAGAATGACAAAAGAGAGGACTGCAGCTGAGAAGCCAAGACAGAGAGAAAACAACCAACCTGTGAAAGACTATAACCAGTACACAGTAACAAACTACCCAAAGACTTGCAGCTCGGAAGGGAAACTCTCCACAGTGCAGGCAAAAATCTTGGATTTTATGTTCACCTAATGAAAACAAGCTAAAGGTTTTACTAGCCATTATCACATACAGCTCTGACTGCACACTCCTCCAAGCAGAGTACTGGCCCAACCTCCAAAGGCAGTACTATAAGGGCAGCCAGCCATCGCACGTGCTCACAGCAATCCACAGGCTGTTGTTAAGAGCTGAATTTCATTGAGTTGCACCAACCTCTGTACCAAAAGGATGGAGAAGCAGGAGGGAGAACCCAGACCTCCCCAGAGAATTTGCAGGAGTACTGATACCTGTATGCCCTCTAGGCACACAGATCAGAAGGTTCAAAGGACCAGCAGAGTGCTAACCCCTGATGTTTCTCAGGCATCTCAAAGATAACAACTGCAGAACAAATGACAGATCAACTTGACATGGATCATGCCACTGATAAAGCCAGCAATACTTTGAAATGCCACATCCTATTACTTGTAAGCTATTTTAGCAATGGCATTAATACTGTATCTCGATGAGGACAGAGCAGAAATGACCAGCAGACAGCCTGAGGAAGTTAACGCGACTTTTAATTCCTAGGCTCAACCTGAATGGCATTAAGAGCACTGTCACGCTGCACCTGCTAGATGGAAGAGGATGCTTTGAGCTGAGACCCTGCCGTGTTTTTCTCAGCCAAGTCATTGCATTTCTTTTTCAGACATCTTATTAGCACCATCAACCCACTCACTGAAAAAGGGGAAACACTAAGTTACAACCTCCTGCAGGTAGATGCCTCTCTGTATTGATGGTACATCAGGTTGTGCTGCTTCACTTCTGCATGTAAGTGGCTGTATCAGTGCTGAAGTGAAACAGAAAAACTGCAGCTTGCCTAGATTTACCAATTTGCTAGATATAAAAATGTGTTAAATTACATGGTAATTTATATGTGTTAAATGACTAAGGTAATTTATAGCACCAGGATCTAAGGAGCCACAGAATCACTAAATGGTTTGGCTTGGAAGGGACCTTCAAGATCATACAGTTACAACCCCCTGACACAGACAGGGACACCTTCCACTAGATCAGGTTTCTCAAAGCCCCATCCAAGCTTGTCTTGATGTTTCCAGGATGTGACAGCCACAACTTCTTGGGGCAACCTGTTCCAGTGACTCTACACCCTCTTAGTAAAGAACAACTTCTTAATATATAACCTAAATCTACCTTCTTCAGTTTAAGGAAGGTATCCCTACATACTCTTGTAAAAATTCCCTCTCCAGATTTTCTGTTGGCCCCTTTAGGCACTGGAAGCTGCTTTAAGGTCACCCCGGAGCCTTCTCTTCCCCAGGCTGAACAAGCCCAGCTCTCTCAGCCTGTCGTAAGAGAGGTGCTCCAGCATCTTCATGGCCTCCTCTGGACTTGCTCCAACAGGTCCACATCCTTCTTCTGTTGGGACACAGTACTGGAGGTCTCATGACAGTAGAGTAGGGGGGAAGAATCCCCTCCCTCGACCTGCTGGTCACACTCCTTTTGACGGGGCTCAGGGTATGGCTGGCTTTCTGATGCCCAGTCACAGATACAGTAAGATGGCTGGCACAGCAAATATCTTAAATTCAAAGGCTCTGTGCTACCCAGGTTACCCCATGATATGCTTTTATGCACCTTCCTCCTCTTCACCGGTTAAAGCAGGCAAAGGATTCTCAGCTTTGCATGGAAACAGAATTACTAACAGGTTAAACAATCTACTGGATACCACAAACTAAGCCTGCAGCACAGCTAACAGCCAAACCCGGTACAAGCTCTGACTGCCACACAGCCTCTCATCTCCATGGTATTTTTAAAATGCAGAACACGAAAAAGCTACTACGGAAGAAAGCCATCAAGAGCTATCAGCTCAGGTTGAAGTTACAAATCAGATGTGCCTTTAGTAATATGATGCAGGCATCATCTCACCTAAATCGATGCCGATGCTGACAGGTAAGATAGTCCCCTTAAGGTCACTGCAGTCTAGGGTACAACTCATCTTATTTTGACGGAGATGTCTGAAACAGATCATGCCTTAAAACTTGCTGTTTCTGCCTGACAAGGACAACCTTCTCAGCTGCAGCCATCTGTACCAATTTAGGTGAGATGACTCCTCCCTCACTTGACTAAAGATAGGTCTAGTTTACAACTCCAGCCTAAACTACACCACTTCAGATATCTATCTTTAATCAAAATACTAACAATCATCATATACTGTTCCCCTAGCCAAAGCACCTTACAAGCAAGCCTCACCCTCTGTGTAATTTAAAGTACATACCTTCCCTACTTTATAGATGGGGAATCATCATATAACACAACTGAAGTCCACCCAAAGAAGGACTTGAAATTTCCAGCATCCTAACTTCTGACTGCCCAAATCCCAGAGTGCAGCCCTGATTTGAGAGGCTGATCCAGGCTGCAACCGTCCCTTTCCACAACTGTCCTTTTCAACATTATGTGCTTCAGGGCAGCTGTGACAAGCAACAGTGCATCCCTGGATGGGTACAGCTAGTATCCCTGGAACCGGTCAAGACAGCATATGAAAACCAAATGGGATTCTGTCTGAGATGAGCAAGACAGAGGCCGCAATCCAATTTCACCCATGTCAAATCAGTACTTCTTCTCAGGAGCCTTTGTTCAGATTTGCCAAAGGATGTTGCTATGCCCCAACAACACAGACATGGCAGCCTTGACTGTCAAGTCTTGATTTAAAAATGACCAGAACAAACAGCTACATATTCCAATCTGCAACTGCCTGGAGAAGTGGTGATATTTTCAAAGCTGTATTTTCCTTGGCTGGCTCTTGGACATTTTGTTCACTTTGGCTGACGGCCCAACAAAGCTCCTGACAAGGAAAAGCATGGCAAGTCAAGGACACCTGTAGCAGAGCAGACAACACAGAACAGATTTGCAGCTCAAATACTAATGAGCTGAGTGGACATTTCAAACCCAAGTAGCTTCAAAAGAACTAAAACACTGATGGCAGTCAGATGTTCAGTTCTAAAGCCTCAGCCAGACAGCAAAAAACCACTGCATTGATATCTGGAATCCTGGACTGTTAATTTTTCTCATTACTCTGAGGGACTTTGCTTTGAACCAGATGAAACAATGAGACATATGAATGGAGTAAATCTGTCTTAATCCTCAGGCCAAAGTACCAGAGATGCTCTATTCCATGAAGTTCAGTCAGACTGCAAAGCAACAACAGCAGCAAAATACAGATTGCAAACACCGAAGTAGTTACAGGTTTCACTATTAAAATTTGCTAGGTTTATGCACACCAACCTTGGTTGTAGTTATCAGACACACCACAGTTTGACCAAAATAAACGATCACATCTAGGGTTGGTCTCTCAAGACAATCACAACCCTATTGCTCCACAAGCTTGGCTGAACTCACCATATGCAGCAGCTTAAGACAATTTCTACCTGTGTAAGTGCCAAATATACCTGCAAAAGAGCTGTTTAGTGGGTATTTCAGCCTTATAGGAATAGACTTTTCTTTCCCAATTAACCTTTGCTATAAGAAACAATTTAACCCTCATCTAAGGAGAGGCAATTGGCTCTCTAGATTTGAACACATTCTCTTTCTGAAGATCACTGCACTCAGAGCGGCTCCTGGGAACTTCACAATGTGTTCACATCAGCCACCACATGTCCCATTACCAGGGTATTCTTCACATGGGGGTCAGTATTCCCACAGCCTGCCAGCTGGGTCTTCTGTTTACAATCACTTCTAAGTTAAAAATCACCAACTTGGACCAAACTCAATTTACAAATATGTAAGCCTTCAGCTGAGTTAGACTTTCAGGATCACATTCAAACCACATTCATTTTAACGAGCTAACAAACTCCCTGTGGGCAAGAAAATTGGTTATTTTCCTGAGATTCCATCTAGAATGAGCTCTTTGGCCTGGCTGTTAAGAGAACATTTCTCAGGTTTTTTACTGCAGTGCAAAGTAATGGTCCCAGCAACACGTTTCTTTTCTACAGGTGTTGTACGCATTCGTATTCCTCTAATTGAGTTTCATTCTCTGATGAGTTATGCAATAAATACAGACATAAATTACAAAAAAAAATTAAATTTATTTTAATGCACTTAATTTAATTGGTGTGAAAAAAATTCTGTCCCTGTGATCGTAACAGTTAAACATAAAAATGGAGTTCAGGCAATGGCTTTGTTCAACACATTCTTTTCTTCTAGTCAGCTTTAAAAGGCAACTACAGGGAATGGTCCAAACAAAGGATCTTTTGCAGGAAAACGAGGCGCAAGTCCTTTGCCCACTCATGTTCATTTAAGACTCCTTTTGCAAGAAAGGTTTTTTTCTTGCATGAATGTTTGCTATAGGATCCAAGCTAAATTCCAAGCTGGATCATTTCTCTCTGCCAGCTTTTGGCAGCATAATTTTGATAAATACTCAAGAGGCAGAACAATACTTGAGAATAGTTTGCAAAGCTACTTTGGAGACATTTAGAAAAACATATACAAGTAAATATTTAAGTCAGGGTTATTTAGCCTATTGCAGGCAGTCACGTTAATGGAAATGCATGTTTGAAATTAATTGCAAATATTGGTCTTTAGCCAGGCCTGAAATTTTTAAGTGGAAGAATTAGCATGAGCTGTGTAATTATACTCAGCCCACCCTTACTTTTTCCCACCCCTTCTTCTAAAATCTCATTATTGGCTCTTATGTGAAGAGGGAGCACTGAAAACAGCTGCTGTCCCTTGCCTGCCAAGCTATCAATGCACTGCAGGAGATGAGTTCTGGCTGCTCCACTGCTAGTTACCTTGCCTGACAATGACAGTAATCAAGGCTGCCTAACCAACTAGCACACACATAATCCCCACTGCAGATAGAAAGTCTCCTGTCAAAAACCTCTGAGAGTCTAATTTAGGTAGTGAAAGGAAGACAAGAATGGCATCAGAATAAGCTGGTACCTGCAGCAGAAGCTACTTTGGCAGCAGACCACATGCAACTGGTAAATAACCTCAACAGACTTGACCCAAGACAATAGGACAAGCTCTGGAGAGTATCAGAACAGCTCACCCTCTTTCCTCCACCATGCAGGACCACCACAGACAGGTGAAAAGAGAAAGCTGAAAACTCACCAACAATTTCTGTTCTGCCATGCTAGATAAAGAGTTGCTTTCAGGCTCCTCTCAACTTACCCTAGCTGGCAATACCACCTAAAGGATCTCAGGGCAAGTGAGAAATGTTCAAAATCCAGACACCCCTGTGGCATCACCCCTCTACTTTTCACACACCAACACTGCAGGAAGCAAGGTGGAAAATATGAAACACTCCTTCAAGATGCTCCAGGAATTTCCATTCACTGCTACAGTGACACTATTGGTATTTACTGAAAAGTAATGGGAGACAACTAACAGTCCAGACCTAATTTGCAGCAGTTTAGAACATCCCTAGGGCATTCCTGTTAGTAACAGTGCTTTTTAAAGTTGGGAAAAATATGGTCTCAATATCGAAATTTTTCCTGATTTGTGTCCAGGATGAGAGATCACACTGAGCATTTCTCAAACTTCTGGAAAGGTCACCCTCCCTGAGGGATCTTTATATGAATACAGAAAATGAAAATAAGTCTTTTTTTCCCTTTATTCTCTCCACAAAAGCATTATACCACCCAGAGAACAGGTAACTGCCTTTAATTGCTGGTACCAACTCAGCTCTTCCAGGACAAGGGAGTGAAAATCTGGTGTAATTAGCAGCTCACTTCTGCCCTGAAGAAAATGAACTACTGTCAACAATTAAAAATGTCTGCTAGCTATGGTGAGCACTCGCAACTACCTCCAAGTCCTTCCTGACCCACAGTTTGAAAACTACTATCCCAACTCACTATCACAGATTGCAATACTGTCTCTATGAAGCCCTAGGCAAACAAAGAAAAAAAGGCTTCAAGAGCTTTTTGAGAAGAAAACAAAAATAAAACAACCCAAACACCTCTATTCAGGAAGTTTCCCTTCTGTTTCAACATCTTTGTATGGATTCTGGTGATTGCCCCCTTTCTAAAAGAATGAAAATACCACGTGGGCTGTGCTGAGAGGCAGCCAAGTGGAACAGAAGGACTAGTGTTGAACCCAGTAAGGAAGAGGGAGGAATTAGGAAAGATCGACAGCCTAAAGCTATTCAACAGCAGTAGAGTGACTGCTTAAGCTGGGTAAGTTTTAGAGGACTAGAAACCAAACGCTCTCTGTGGGGGCAGTATGTACCTCAGTTGGACTCTTCTAGCCTCAAACATCAACTGGTGATGAGAGAAGTGAGGGGCTACCAGTTACTCAGAGCTAGAAGAAGATCTGTCCAAGACTGTTGCCAGCACAGCCTTGGCAGCAGTAGTCCTGTGTACTTTGAATTCTTCAGGTTTTCCAAATACATGTATTGCTTTTGCTTTTCCTATCCCCTACAAGAAGTTCTGTTTGTTTAAATCCATTGTTTAACACTGTGCTCACAAGCAGAGCAGCATTGCTCATTCTTGAGCATTCAAAGAGTGTAATTGAATTTCCCAGGCTTCTGAGAGGGGGTCAAGCCAGTTTTGTGTAACAATTTTAGCAAGAACCCAATTAAATTAAAACAAGCTCTTTTGCTGCCGATCTGTGCCTTGAAGAAGGGTTACAATTAAACAACAAAACATAGCGTGAAACTAAGAACAGCAACAGATTTGATTTACTTGAGCATCCTCAAAATACATTACCACAATATCATAAAAACAAGCTTTAACGCTGAGAATTTACCCAAGCAAGACAAACATTACTCCAGGGCAACATGATTGTGTGTGGCTTTTTTTTTTTCCCTCTTTCCAAAAAACAAAGGAAGATAGAATTTCTTCAGCACTATCGGATTTTTAGACTGTTAGTGTCAGCTGTGTCTACCTTCTTTAGAAACAAAGGCAACATTTATTAAACAACTATTAAAACCACACACTGTAACCTCCTTAAAGGAAAAGCACTTAGGGTCAACAAACACAGACAAGGAGAGTAGGGAGAAAAACTATTGGCATTAACTTCAAACAGACACATATCTACAAACATTTAAGGTTTGCAGACCTGAAACTAAGTTGTAGACCATCATACACCTTCTTCAAATCTACTATTAGCATTTTCTGGTGGGTAGTAGAGTGTACAGGACAAGTGCTTGTTCCCCTTTTCCTTCATCTACCTAACCTCCTCCTCTCCTCTGCAATATTAACAAATCTGGCAGCACGCACCAGTAAAATACTGCAAACAGAAAAACAGAGTATAGTTTTTCAGGTCACATTTTTTTCCCCTCTCTCCTCCATCATTTCCCAATTTATCTTCCCCATGCTCTACTTCTCTTTTCCATTTTCCTTGCCTGTTTTCTTTTCTTGGCCACCTCTTTCTTCCTTTCTTTCCTGAAATTACGTCTGTGTTTTTTAAAGCAGAATTTCTTTCAGCTTTATGCTTGCCTATTATCTTTCACCCACAATGCTGGGTTGGGCTTTGGTTTGGTTTTGTCTTTTTTTTTTTTAATTACCTTATTTACTCAGAATTTTTTTCCTCTCCCCTCTTTAAGTTACCCAACCCTGTGTTTGTTTACTTGCTCAGGTTATTCTTCTTCAAAATCTGGTGATCCTGTGTACACAATCCTACTCAGATGAACAGTCCTCCCAGCAAACCGACCCATGAGTTTCAAGACCTAGGACATTGAAACAGATACTGAACTACAAGTGAGACCAAGATAGCCATTAGAAGTCAAGAGGACACCAGAAAGTGTTAAAACAGGATTTGTCTTAACACCATAGAACACCAGTATTTTGTTATTACATGAATGTTTAAGTTTACCATTTATAACCTGTCTTGGAAGAGCTGTTTTATGAATAAAAGACAACTAAGACCCACATGAGTTAGGATATGGATACCCTCCTCTCCCTTCAAATAGCTCTTGAAGACTCTGTTCTTACCTCTAGGCAAATTACTGATCCTTGATGCTCTTTGAAGACTTTCAACTGCTCACCAGTGACAATATTCCACGTTCGAATGGTATAATCCGTGCTGCCAGAAAACAGCTCCCTGTTTGGTGCGTCAAGTATAAGGCATAAGACAGCCCCAGTGTGTCCCAGCAGAGTCTGGTAACAGCGCCCGCTGGACACCCACCAGACCTTAACAGTGCAGTCTGTGCTACCTGTCACGAGGAGGTCTCTGCTTACTTTCTCCTCCTCCTCCTCTTCTTCCTCCTCTTCTTCAAGAACATCCCTGGAGGAATAGTGAGCTAGAGTCAGGACACAGTTCCGATGGCCCCGGAATTCCTGGATTTGTTTCTCCTTGTCCACACTCCAGCAGCGCGCCGTCCTGTCATAGGAGCCACTAAAGAGATAGTCTTTGGCAACCAGGATCCTGCAATAAAAACCAAAGTTTGCATGTATGAAAATATAATTCTTTTTACATGACAATTTTTTGACACAATTTCAATCCCAAGCATCCTAAAGTTAGAAACAATAGCATGAACACAACATAGGTAATCCCAATTCAGTGTCACTGTTTAATACACACAGTTCATCAACTTTTTTGTTGTAGAAAACTGTAGAAAAGTAGAAACTTCCCTGTTCCTACTTTTAAAATTAAGACCCCTTATTCGGGTATTCAGGTACACGGATGCAGCACTGTAGCTTTGTGGTTTTCCAAAATCTTGTCCAGCAAGACCATTAGGTACTTTTCATAAGTTACACATACTAGCTAAGAGCTTGTTGTTTTGGGTGTTTCCTGTTTGGTTGTTTTTAAACTCATTCTTGATCATTATTTATTAGTATTTATAAATAATTATTTATAAAAGCCTATGAAAATACCTTGGAATTAAAAAAGAAAAAATACATTGCAGGAACCTGACTTGTAACTGACAGTGTGCAAAGAAAATCACCTGTCCATCATCAGAGAGAGCGCAAGAAAAAAACATATACACCTAATTTCACTTAGCCCAGGATCTCAAAAAAGAGCAAGAGTACTTCACTTGTTACATAACTGAAGAGCAAATCAGATTACAGCTCAAGTATTCAACTTACTCAGCCTCCATGAACATGCAACAGAAAAATCTCTACAGCTCATATTCCCAAACCAGAGATAGTGAACATCGCAATCTGTCATCTGTGCCAGCTGAGTTTGGCCTTCTGAAAACTTTCAAACTGACAACAAAGTCATATGAATAGGGAACATATTTCCATTTGCTGATTTAAGCAAAAAATCAGGCCAGTGCCAAATACAGAGCCAGCCTTCCTAACTATTTACAGAATCCAGATACACATCATATGTGTTTTGAGTTTAGTAAGGAACAAAAAACCCCATCCACCCACAAAAAAAAAAGAAATGTAGAAAAAAAGAAAAGAACAACCAACCTCAGACTGATCTATTTGCCATTAATTAAATCCAGTCCAACTATTAGGAGGCACTTCAAATTGACTTGCTAATCAGTCACACACAGTCGGTTTAATATTAAACTTCATTTTCACAAACAGGAATAGTAATTCCAGAAAAAGTCCTGACATTATCCCTCTTACTGATACACAAAGGCTTGACATGATGTTTTTAAATCTATTTATCAGAAGCATCTGTTATCAATTGAGTAATTTCTTCTGGAATTTCATTCCTAGCCCTAGATTCAATTCCCCTGCTGTGTGCCTTTCATTTCTCTCCTATCTGCTGTCTATGGATGTGTCAGCACTGTTGCTAGGAAAACTAATCATTACAGCACAGAACACGTGTAGCATGAACTCAAAGGTTTACACAACCCATTTTATTAGTGTAGTAATGGAGAATTGCAGTGAAATGACAATATACATGATAACAGATTACAGGAACACAACGAAGAACTTCATAGAACCAACCTGTTAACAATTGATGTGTGTCCTCGGTAAATGGCCAGGCACTGACCTGTCATCACATCCCACTTTCGAATGGTGTGATCGGCACTACACGTAAAGGCAGCCTCATTTTCTAAGTGGCAAAAGGTGATGTAGCTTTCATGTCCTAGGAATAACAAAGGAAACAAATTCAATCACAGTGCATGCAAGCAGGACAAACTAGTCAAACTCTTCACCTTAACTAAGAAAAATACAGCAAACAAACAGAATGAAACTCTAGTTTTAAAGTGCACCACCATGTTCTTCACATTTAAAGATTTGTATAAAACACATTTTTAACTAACAGCAGAAAACTCTGCTTCACTGAGGTAAGGATTAAGTGAAAGAGTAAAACAGTACAGTTCCACCAATCAGGTAGACAGAACAGTATTATAAAACTATAATGACCTAAATTAACATCAGTGTAATTAAGTTCAGACTAGTGAAATTTAAAACCAGTTAAAAAAGGCTTATTTTATTAAAAAAAGAAATGCTTTTGCTTCTTTTTCCTGAAGTCAGGGAAAAAAGGCTGCATTTTGACCCAGCCCATTGATTGTCAGGACACAAACAGTCCTAAATGAAAGCATGAAACCATGAAAAAAGGAAGACATGATATTTACCAGCAAGTTTAGTTTCAATGTCCAAGCAGGATGAAACACAACCAACCAACCAACCAAAAAAAAAAAAATAAAATGTATCTGGTAAAGTCAGCCAATGCTTTTCCCATCATGACTAATAATAACATGAATAAACCCCACAATTGTCAAGCTATCAGTATACCTTTAAGGAAATGACACAAAAAGAAAGAATAAGAGCAAAATTAAGTACGCTGGGACTCTACAGTTACAATAAAAATAGACACAACTGCTACTCTAAAAACTTCAGGCTGAAAACCAGAGTAATGCAATTGAAGAGAAATCAATACTACAACCTTAAACTTTTGTTGTTGCTTATCAAGGTGTGCAATTTTGCTACTAAATGCACAGCATTTAAAAATCACCTTAGGATTCAAGTCCCAGCTTTGTCCATCTCCTGTGTGAAATTGTTGTAACCCATCTAATCATTGGGATAGTATTATCTTACACTCTTCTGTTTTATTTATTTAGACTGCAAAGTTTCAAGATCAGAACTGTTTCCTCTTAAATGACTATCAAAAGAGAGACCCAGACTTTGGTTGAAGGCAGTGGGCCCTACCGTGATTTAAATAACACTATTATTTGAGGAGAAAAGAAAAAATATAAGGACAAATGTGATTAAAGAGACACAGATGGACAGAAAAAGATATTGGAAGACCAGAATCACACTGTAGAATAAAGAGATGGTAAAAAAACTGAAGGAAAGCGGACTGCCCAGTAAAACTTTGTTTCGCTGACTGCAAAAAAGTAGATTTTACTACAACTCCTGTAGTTCAAAAGCAAACCAGAATCTACATTACAAATGTTCGTCTTGTTTCCCTTTAAGCAAATTCACCAGATGACACAAATTAAAAAGATCACCAGGGCTATAGGCAAACCTATGCTAACCCTCACAACTTTGTGAAAACTTTTTGCATGCAGCTTAAATGGGACAGGTTTCAACCACAAGGATTGTTCTGCCATCATCAAATAATCCTGCTCTGAGACGATCAAAAAAGCATCTTGGTTATTGAGCCAAAGTCTGCCAGTCAGATTTTAAGCATCAGTTATACTCAGCCACACAAAGGATGCCAAAACACCCTGTGGCAGACAAGGTCTGGTCAAAAGCAGCCACCATGGAAGTCTGCTGGTTATGCTGTGGTAGAAGCTTGAAACTGTGTTATAGATACAGGTTTATTCATAATTATAGCTTGTACAACACACATTTACACAACAGCTCTACGTGTGCATAAATATAAAACACAATTATCTGATTCAACAAAACCATCTAGACAACCTTCTTTAGAGTTTACACACCAGACATTATCAGTACATAGACCACATTCTGAACATTATCCAGTTTATTTCTCTTTCTAGTTAAAAGTTCATTAGTGGTTTAAAGGGATTTCTAAGCCTAAAGCAAATGCACTGAGTTTTTCAGGAGCCAGAACCATGGCAGGATGTGGAGAAAAAAAGACAATACTCCATAGTCAAAAACAAGCAAGAAAGTAAACAATGACTACAGCAATGTAATTTCTTCTTCGGAGAAAAAAAAAAAGGATTAGAAATTCCAAATTTAAGAGGGTTTGTTTGTGTGTGTGTGTGTGTGAAGAGAAAACATGAACGAGCAACAATACAAACATCATTAATTCACATCTGAGTCCTGCATGACACTTTCTACAGATTTTCTTTTGAAATGAGATGCTAGTTTAAGGATAAGAAAGAAGTTGCTTAAAACACAAAAGCAATTTAAAAGAAAAAAACCCAGCAATTAACATTTCTGTGTGTCAAATGTGGGGGAAAAGAAGTAGCCTGTTTTGTGGAGTTTCTTTCTAGACTTCTGGGTCAAGAGGGTCTAAATAAAGATTGTCTGGAAAATGACATGATTAAAAGGAAAAGAAATAATAGAAGAAAGGGAGAGAGACAATAACAAACAAACAGTATTTCATCAGGGTGTAAACCAGACAGCTTCCAGAAAGAGACATGAGTTGAACAACTGTTACATTCCCCACCCTCAGACAAATGGATCTATGCATTCAGTAGCACTAGTAACCTGTTTGGATTGAAACAGCTTCTGCTTTACATTACTGTAACAAATACTCAAAAAACCCACAAAACAAAAACAAGCATGATTTTGGCTGCCAGGCAGGCTGCAGCGACTGAAAGAGACCAGAACATGCTGTGTGGCCTGTGCCATGCTTCAGACTCAAAAGCTAGGTGAACAGAAACCATTGTACCTTGGAAGTGGCCATGGCACTGGCTGTCAGCAGTGCTCCAGAGCCGCGCAGTGCCATCTTCACTACCCGTGAGCAAGCGCTGGCCGTCCGGGCTCAGGCTCAGCCAGTTGATGCCTCCTTGGTGATCTGTGCAGACCTTCACGGCTGAGCCACTGTTCCCCATCCTGGTGGTCCCAGTGAAGGCAGCGGCTGTGGGTCAAATCATGGGCACTGTGTAAGTGCTAGACCATGTTCTGCCTCCAGCTGTCTCCCACTGAACAACTTCAGCCATTACAACTCTGAAAACTCAGCAGGGCAGTCCAGACTCCTGTAGAGAGACACAAAGGAGGAAGAGGAGGGCACGTTAAATCGTTTCATCTCCCCCCGTGGATGCATCACTTTCTCAGTCAGGGTGTGTTGAAGCCACTGAGCGCTTCTTTCTCCGCAGGAACCGGAGATCTACCGTAGCAGATGGCCACACGGCTTACTGGTGCGTCTTCTCCGTGGGCACTGAGGTACGGTCGGTCCCTGAGAGAGGACCCAGCCTGGACGGCGGCGGTACCGCTACCTGGTGCCGCGCTCAGGCTGCCGGCACTGCTGCTTCTTCAGCAAGTTCAAGGCTAACTCGGGGCACCCTGAAGAGGCGACGCCTCCCAGAGAGGGAAGCCCAGACCCAGGCGGCCCCCAACGCCCCAAGGGGCTGCCGGACCCGTTCTCCCCCCGCCCTGGGATCACCTCAGAGGCCCCCTGTCCTCCCCGCCCAGAGCTGCTGCCATCCCTCCCGCAGGGCCCCCCCACCCCGCATCTCCGCCCTACGGCACTTCCTCAGGGCCCCGGGGGGAGGCGCGGGGCTCGTCTCCGGCGGAGCGATCCCGCACTTACCCTCTGGGGAGGGAGAACCTCTCCCTCCGAGGGGGCCGGAGTCAGCGCCGGGCCGAGAGCGGGATCTGCCCGCTGCTGTCTCCTCCGCCCTGCGGGGAGGTGGGAAGGACTCCCCTCCGCCGCCGGGCCGAGGCGGGAGCCCCGCAGCCGCCGTCGTGCCCCCCTCAGGCCATCCCGGGGCGGTTCCTCACCCCCAGCGCCGGCCCTCCCTCCATTAGCTCCCCCTCCATGTTAGAGCCTTCTAATCGCGGCAGCCCCCTCCACTGGGGCGGGAAGGGGCGGCCTCCCCTCGCCCGCGCTGCCGCCTGGGTGCCACCGCTCCCCGCCGCCTTGTACTCCCGGGGGGTGCCCGGCCGCTCTGCCCCTCTGGGATGGCCTCCCTCCACATCAAGCCCCCTTTCCGAGGGAAAGACGCATCCGCAGCCCACCTCCCCAGGGCTGAAGCCGCCCTTACCTCGTTTCAGTCCCCCGGCGGTGCTGGGGAAGAGCTGAGGGGTGGGAGGGTCTCTCCCTGCTGGGGACCCTTCAACAATCGCACTGCAACCGAAACAGCCCGACAGCACTTCCACACCCCCAGCGGAGTCCCCAGGCTTCTCTTCGGGGGAGGCACCGCTTCCTGCGGCACGTTTCGCCCCGCAGGCTGCCCACCGGCACCACCGGTTCCTCGGCGAGCAGCCTCGTTTCCTCCCCGGCTTTTCAGGCCGGTGCCTCCCGGGACACAGATGCTTGTGCTGGGGGCTGGCGTTGAGGGAAGCCATCGCCTATTGTTCCCTCTCTCCCCTGGGTGAACTCGCATCAAACTTACTCTCAGGAGCCCCCCCTATCCACGGGAGCCCCAAACCCCCTCTCTCGCTCTGCACGTACCGGAGGATTTTGGGGCTGTTTCTTGTTAATGTGGCCCCTCGCCCGATCCACCTCAGCTGTGTGCTGCTCCAAACTGTCTGATCAAGGGCTTCAGCATGGCAGGGTGGCAGGGTGGAGCTGCTGCCTCGGGAGCTGTGCAATCTGTGCATCCCATCATGGTGTCATTTAATATACCAAGGATGTATCCACCAGGCAGAGAAAAGCGAGACCCTCCAGCAAGGCAGCAGCAGGGTCCCATGTGGATCCTCCTCCCCCCCGCTAAGAAACGGGGAGCTGCAGCTGAACACATGCCATTAGTTGTGTGATAGATCACAAAACCACCTTCTCCCAGCTCCCGCCTCGTTTGATCGGAAAAGCACAGTTTTGAGTCAAATCACCAACCCCAAAACAAGCCCATTACCTCCATTTCACACTGTCATCTTCAGTACAGGGGTTCACCAGGCGCTCACAGATATTTAGCAAAGCATCAGCTCTGCTCCGACATGATGTATTTCGGTGTGTGGGCTGTACAGAAATGCATGAGTTAAATGGATACTTCATGGGATATGTTATTTTGCACAGTGCATTCTGGCAGAGGCGAAACAGGCCTAGTATGTCACACCCAATGCAAACAGAAGGTGATCCCAATCCGGCTGCCAGTTGTAGCCATGCAGCCATGGAGAAATTTGAAAGACAGAACTGTGGGGCTGCAAATTTGGGTTTTGTAATGGTCAGGTCAAGCTCCATGGCACATTGTCACCAGCCAGCTCTTTTCTGAAGTCAAGCATTTCCACACAACCCCATCGCATCCAAGAAATGACCGAGAAGTGTGAGATACGAGCACTGGACTTCTTCCCTCTGAAAATCACATTATCCATGAAAAGATATTTTTTGGACATGGAGGCCTGGGAATCGGCTGCTCTCAGGGAGTGTCCCTCACCATCTGCTCATACATCTGTCAAATCCACTCACAAACCCCTGCCCGGAGTCCTTGTTCTGGAAACTGTAGGATAGATTAGCGCTCCTTTTTATTTTCCTGTGCTGCTATGATGTGAACTCAAGGGAGAATTCAGACGGAAGGGGTACTTTGTTAGGTTTGAGCCAAGTATGCACGTTTTAAACACACACAGTTTATGTCTTCCAGAGGAGGCTGAGCTAGAGGGGAAACCCTTTGCCACAGCTCAGCCATGCACTGGTTGCAGGAGCCCATGGGAGCAGAGGGTGTGCTGCTCCTTCCCTCCCTGCTTTTAAAGCCTTTTCAAGTTTTCTTATTGTTATTTCAAATTAGTATTTCCCTCCTGTGGTGACTGATGAAAGCTTTTCATGAATATTTATTAATTTTCTTGAGGTTTTTTTTTTTAATATTCTTTTTCTACTGGTTTTATCTGCCTGAATTTTAGGTAATTTTTCTTTATTACGTTTGTGTTCTTTTTTCATAGTTGTAGGACAATGAGGAATGCAAAAGTTATCTACTCTTTGGTCTTGTTCCTCGGGGCCTAAATCCTGCAATGAATCTTTCTTCACACAGACACCCAAGGATGCACAAGTATAAAACTCAGGACTGCTGGTGTATATTTCACTTGTCATTCTTCAACAAATTTCTATTAGCTATGTACAGAAATACAGATCTGTACATACACAGATGCATGAGTTGCTCCTATAACATCCAGATAAATGTAAAACCTTCAGAAGGCATCTGGATGTTTATGGCTAGATTAATAGTATGTGATTTGCAGGATCCAGTGGCTATTGTTAAGTCTGGAGCCAAGTTTTAGCTCTTTTGGCAGTCACCAGGAGTAAAGGAAGTATGTGGAGTTTAGATCAGCTACACTCTCTTTTGGAAGGGGAAAGGGCTGGCCACTATCCTTCACCATGGACTATGCCATGGTCCAACATCAGCAGGTTCCTAATTCTCTTGCATTAAGTAGAATTAATTGGGAACTTTGTCTTTAAAATATAGCTTCATTCTACCTGAGATTCAACCTCTCACGTCTCTGATACACACAGTGCAGGGAGACTCCTTAAATCCTCCTCCCAAGACAGTAATGGTCAGATGCAAAAGCCTCACAAATTATTTGTGTTTAGGCTCACTTGAAAGATATTCAGGCATGCAGCATAGGCTCCCAGTCCTGCTGGAAGTTTTATAAGTCAGCATTTACATCAGTAGCGGCACTGATGTAAATGCTGAATAACGTTTCCCTTGAAAAGGTTTCAATAATGATGCAGATGATTTCAATAATTTTATTGATGCTGTTTGTGGGGAAGGAACACAGGCAGCTCCTCCGTGTTCACCTCCCCCTTCTGGGGCTTTGGGTATCTGGGTGTATTGCAATGGTCTTTGATGGACAACAAAAGCTCTTTTGTTCTGTCAAAGAAGCAGAGCTAGTAATGCTCCAAAGAAGTCAGCACTAAGAGATCAACCAAAACCAAAAGAATAAAGTGCACAGCAATGCTAATTATCTTTCCTGGAGAATTAACCCCTTCCATCACCCCAACCACTCCATATTCCTACAGAAGGACCTTTCTGGCTGCCAATATCTTTTCACCTTCATCCTATTGCTCTGCTTCAGGCTGTCAACCCCAATCTCTGTTAGAATTGCTGATAATGAAGTGTTACCTCCTCTTTCTTCACCTCAGAAAATTGCAAAAGCCAACTGACTCTCTTAAATCTACTGTCAGGGGCCCAGAAGATCGATAGTGGCATATCCTGCACTGACATACAGCCTTGTTTTTGAATCAACCACATCATTATAGTCAATGAGAACTTTTAGCCTCAAAAGCACGTTACATGGTGTCTCCAGAGGCAAGGTTCCTCACTGAGCAAACCTATCCTACGCTGAGAAAATTTCCCTGGTAAAGTTGAGTTTGATTTAAAAATTGATCTAGTTACACTGGTGCAATGTAAATAAAACTTAAGCTTAAATAGATTTAAATACAGCTTTTACTGCTTAGGTTAAATTCAAAACCTTATCAACATTTAAGTAGTTTCACTTGCATTAAGTTAGCATTGTTGAAGGCAGATCAATTTTACAGGTATTTAATTATAAAAACTCAAGAAGATGTAGCCTTACTCTGAAGTGAGGATGGAGGAGCAGAAGTCAGGTCAGCTCCTTGATTAGTGCGTGACCATGCTCCACATGCCCAGCAAGAGCTAATGCTCAAAGGAAGGGAAGAAGCTGCCCTCTCCTTCTCTTCCCTCCATCCCTTGGTAAGTCCAGTAACATTAGCATTCAACATTTCCTGGCAGAACCATATTGCAGCTGAAAGATGGGCACAGAGCTTTGTGTTAAGATGCCATAGCATAGCTTTGTAGGATGAAATGTCTTGATTTCCCAGCCCAATGCCACAAGTATGAGGGCAAGTCAATGGCAGGCAGTTAACTCACAATTCTGAAAGGAAATACCTTTTAGGCAATGTGTAATCAGCCTGTGAAACTCATTGCCACAGGATACTGTTGTGGCCAAGAGTTTAACAAAGAAATTCCCTAACAATTCATACCAGTTGGACCTTGCCAGCTCTCAATATTTATCACAGACCACTGCGTAGCTCTAGATCCGTGTGGGGCTTTGCACCCCTAGTCATAGTGCAGGGGAAGGCTGTGACCATGCACTTCATCGAGGCTGTGTTTAATACTGCTTGGGACCTATTTAAAAGCAAGGGTTGATTTGATACACAGACTAGCTGCAGTCTTCTTGTCATGACAGTGTCTACACATGGAACCACATGCTCTTTAAAGCAGTCTTCTTGACACCCAGATTAGAAGAACTGTTCGAGTATACCATGGCTCCCTTCCAGCCTGTGAGCTGAGGCTCTCTTCATATGTAGGTAGCACAGGAGGGACAGTGTGTGGCTGCACTGCTCACTGTGGTGCCTAGCACAGTGTCATTTCATAGCTGGAGTGCAGAACCAGGCTTTACAAAACCCTAAAGCATAGAGCACCAGTGTGTGAGGCTCCACTGGGAATAGGACTGGAGAGCACATGTGGAGGTACACAGACCACTGTAGTATTGGCAATTGTATTAGGTAACACCAAAAAATGTCTGGAAGACGTATAGGTCCTCCCCATCTGCCTACTCTGAAATTTCATGCATTCTCCCAGGGTCATCCAAAAGCCTTCATAGGCTCTGGGCAGAGTGCCTGTATATGCAGTTTTGCACACCATCCGAAGCTATCCTTTCAGACTTCAGACCCAAGCTTCATGACTCAAGTCAGTTCTTTCCAGCCCCTCTGCAGCTGACCTCTTTTACAGGCAACAGAGTTCCTCCATTCCTTGTGTAAATATGGATCCTTTGCAGCTTAAAATGTCCTGGAGTGCTCAAAAATCTAGCTTGGGTGTGAACATTTATCAAATTCCCCTGCAGGACAAAAGATAATTGGAAACTGTCACTTACCCTAGATTTTGCTCTAAGCATCTACAAAGTTCTTT